CCCTCCCTCACTCTCTCCCTCCCTCCCTCCCTCCCTCCCTTCCTTCCTTCCTTCCTTTCTTCTTTCCTTCCTTTCTTCTTTCCTTCTGTCCCTCTCTTTTAAGGCAGGTTCTTCTGTATTCCATGCTGGCCTGGGATTAACTCTGTTGCTGTGGATGACCTTGAACATCTGATCTTTCATGCTTCAGTAGATAGAGCACTGACTAGACAAAATGTTAGGAGGAGGAGGTTGTGGTAGTGGCTGATCCAGGAGCTGGAGCAGAAGAGTAGGCATTAGCTATGATTGAAATATATCATATGCATGCATGAAACTCCAAGGGAAAAATAAGAAAAAAGACAGGCACATTGAGCCTGGATGGAGAATGATTCTGCTAATGCAGACTCATTAATCTAGACCCCTGGACACAACCGTTCACTGTCAATGAAGACAGGCTTTTATAAAATTTTCAAAATTATTATTTTTTCCATGCATGTATGTCTGTGCATCACATGTGTGCAGTGTACTTGGAGGCCAGAAGAGGACATTGGATTCCCTGGAACTGGAGTTACAGATGGTTGTGAGCCAGTACGTGGGTGTTGGGAATTGAACTTGGGTCGGATGGAAGAGTAGACAGTGCTCTTAACCGCTGGGCCTCCCTGGCCCAGTGGGGACAATTTTAAGAGAAGTCACTCAGGCTCCTGGATTGCAGCCCTGCTGTTCAGCAAATAATCAGATCCTTACCTCAATTCGCTTTCCTCCAGTTTGCACAGTTTTCTTTTTCTGTGGTTTTGAGACATTGAAACCTTTTTTCTCCTTCCTTAAAATTTCCCCTGCCTTCTATTGCCTGTGAATCCCAATGCGGTCTTCATTTTCAAAGACTATGTCCCACTGAAGTTTCAGAAATCACTTATTGGGCGGGAATTGTGGGGGATACAGAACTGTATGAAGCCCGTGTGGAAAGGACCAAGACATGTATGTTCAGCTTCCCAACACCACTAGAATGTTCTAGAACACCCTTCCTCTACTAACCAGAAATTAGGAAACTCTATCTATCTATCTATCTATCTATCTATCTATCTATCTATCTATCTATCTATCTATCTATCTTATAAAATATCTACAATATGTTATAAAATATATCTATACTATATAATAGAATATATTTACAATATATTGTATGATATATTTAAAATATACTATATAGCATATTCACAATGTTTTATATTTTAATATATGATATATTAAAAATACATATTTAAAAAGAAAATCAGTAGTGTTGTGTTTTCTCAGGAGTGGTAGAGAGTTTGATTCTTTTTGCTGGCAACTACCCAGGTGTGGCTAAGAACTCTCAGAAAGGCAAGAGTGCTCCTAGGCAACTATCACTGTTAATTATCCTAAAAAGGATGTTTCTCACTGCAGATAGTCTTGTTCCACACAAGCTGTCATCAGAAAGACAAGGTCTGCCCTGGGGACAGTGCAAAAATGATTTTCTTGCTCAGATTCATTTATATTTTGAGGCTGGAGGGGTGTGGAGCCCGGCTGCTGTTGTTGGAGATGGGCTTGCACTGGGAGCCAGAGGCTTGGATTCTTGTGTACACAGACCGGGAAAAGGAATATTCCCCTTGGACCATCCCCAAGTCTGCCCAGAGGGAAGGAACACGGGATGGTCAGTCAGCACATGCTGGGGGAGCTGTCGCTGCAGACACCACCAGGGGATTCTGGGTCGGGGCTCTGCCAGGGTGGAGAGGCTCAGGGCTGTCCAAAGGTGCCAGAGTTCCCTATTCAAGGGCACTCTGCTCTCTCGTTTCCTTCCTCACAGTCCTTGTTCCTTCCCTCTCCTCTTCTACCTCATTCTCTTCCTCCTCTTCTCCTCATCTGGTTCCCTCCTCCCCTTCCTCTTCTTCCCTTTTCCTCTTCTTTCTTCCCTTTTCCTCTTCTCTCCCTCCTCCCCTTCCTCTTCTTTCTTCCCTTTTCCTCTTCTCTCCCTCCTCCCCTTCCTCTTCTTCCCTTTTCCTCTTCTCTCCCTCCTCCCCTTCCTCTTCTTTCCTTTTCCTCTCCTCTCCCTCCTCCCCTTCCTCCTCTCCCTTTCCCCTCTGCTCCAATCGATTATTACCCCAGAAGAACATAAAACACTCAAGCCCGAGGAGCTGGTAGCCCTGCTGCTCTCTGCAGTTCCTATTTAGAATTTCACACCAGCCAGCCAATGTTCCAGTTCAAAATACAGACTGAAGTCTTTTAGGAACCAAGAGCTTGTGACTCAGAAGTCAGCAATAGTCTTTCCCATCCCAGTGCTGGGGAGCTGCTCCCACGAGAGAGTCAATTTCTCACTTCTTTTTGCATACCAAACTTCTAGGCCTGTGCCTGGCTCCAGAGATGTGAGATAAACGCAAAGCTGTCTCTCATATCCAGAGGGCATCGATTCCAGGACTCCCTAAAGATGCCAGATCTTCAGATGCTGAACTCCCTCTTACAAAATAATTGTGTTTGCATAGATACTACACTCATCCACATACTTTAGATTGCTTGTAATACCTAATACAATGCAAATGTTATATAAATATTTATACTGTATTATTTAGGAAATAATGGCAAGAAACAGGAAAGCATTCAATAACAGATGCTTTACAAATGTGTCGGATCCATAATTGGTGGAATTCACGAATGTGGGTTCCTTAGACACGGACGGCCAAGTGGATATTGTTATCCTTTAAAAATCCTTTTGTTCTGTGGAAAGAGAAGTGATGGACCACAGAGACTCACATTCCCGGTGTGCTGAAATGTAAAAGCTTACTGGAGAGGCTTCCCTCTGCCCCAGAAGGACGACTTGGTAGGAATCCTGACTTAGCCTCCTGTTGGCGCAGGGAGACAGGGAGACAGATGCGAGGGACCAGGGACTTCCCTTTGGAAAAGGGTACCAGGTTAAGGAAGACCGGGACCAGTTCACAGAGTATACATTGTCACATGACACCGACCAACCTGGAGTTTCAAGCTGGAGGCTCCCAAACACGGGACAGGTTGTGGGGGTGCGGGGGGGGGGAAGGGACCCGGACTGTGTAGCAACAACTCAGAACTATGAAGAGTTGGTGAATGGGATTGGATTTATGCACTTCCCGGGAGGCCTGCAGCTCCGCTCAGGCTTTTGACTTGCAGCATACTGTCAGTATATGTGGACGGAGCCCACTTTGCTCTCAGAATGTGAAGCATGTGTGAAATTTAGGTTCTTAAAGCCCGGGAACAGGCCACCGACAGATTCATGACTAGTGCTGACCACAAAAGCTCTGTCGGATTACGAGGAACCAATCTTTAGTTCTTTAGTGCGATGTATGCTGAGCGCTGGGTGGGTCAAGTGTGGAGAGACACTTAACACCCTGTGGGGTTCAATGATGGCCAAAGAAGGGGCAAAAATAGCAGTTTTATTAAGCTATTTTTTTTTCTTATTTTTGAAAGGCCTAACTCCCCCACTTCGGCTTGCCAACACATAACTGCAAATATTTAAATGAGAAATGCTCTAAAATCATTCAAAATAAACTTTGGACACAGATCAAAATCTAATTTCATTAACTATTTGGAAATTTAAAGTGCATTAAAAATCATCATTAATTTGCTTTTAGGATGGCTGTTAAAAAGGTAAGTGGGGGCTAGAGAGATGGCCCAGCAGTTTAGAGCACTGGCTGCTCTTGCAGAGGACCTGGTTAGGATTCCCAGCACCTACATGGGGGCCTCACAACTGTCTGTAACTCTGGTTATAGGGAATTTGACGCCCTCTTCTGGCCTCCGTGGGCACCAGGCATGTACATGGTGCACATACATACATGCAGGCAAAACATTCATACACATAAAATAAAAGAAACAAATCATAAAACTGCAAAAACTGAAATGGCTAGAGGTCTCAGAGCATGTACTTAAGGCTATAGGACACATAGGCATAGCATTTCACATCAGAGAGTTTCAACTGAATGCATTTCTAACAGGATAGAACCCGTCTTACCTGTGGCTTCCACCATTCCCTCCAGGATGACCACAATCTCCAGTTCCTCTTTAGGTAGTTGGGCTTTGGAGATCTCCCAGAAGGGACTCTGTTGGTTAATTTCATGGCTAATAATCAATGGTGACACTAGAAAGAGTCGGTCATCCCCAGTGTAGTACCCTACGTTGATATCTGTCTGGTTGAGGGGGATGAACTCCCCCTCTGAAGTCTGTTTGGACTTGATCAACTTGGCTCTGATGGAAGCCTCCACGATGTGGGAATTCCTCAGGTCACCTACCCGGAACATCAGGCATAGTTTCCCATCCCGCATGGAGATCACCGCGTGGGTGGAGAAGACCAGGGTCTCTGCCCTCTTCTTGGGCTGGGATATTTTCACAAACATACATCCTACCATGAATGCGTTGACAATGGACCCCAACACAGACTGGATTAAGAGGAGAATAATTCCCTCGGGGCACTTGTCCGTGATGACCCGGTACCCGTAACCAATGGTGGTTTCTGTCTCTATTGAGAATAAAAAAGCAGAGACAAACCCATTGAGGTTGGTAACACAGGGAGTCCAGGACGGGTCCTCTATGTGGTCCATGTCTCCCCGGATGTATGCAATTAGCCACCAGATCATCCCAAAGAAGAGCCATGTTACTGTGTAGACCATGACAAAGATTAACAGGTTGAATCTCCACTTTAGGTCCACGAGGGTGGTGAAGATATCCGTCAGGTATCGGTAGGTCTCCCTCACGTTGCCATGGTGAACGTTACACTTCCCATCCTTCCTCACGTACCTCTGGATTTTCCTTTTGGTCCTGTCTCGGCTGATGTGCCTTGGCAGGTCGTCCCTGGCTTGCTTAGGCAACTTTGGCTGGTGAATGGCCACTGGGCTTTCCACGTCCTGGTCCATGGAATCGCCTTCCAGGACATTCGCTGGCAGTTTGAAGAAAAGAAAAGAGAGTCCAAATGAAATGCTGTTTTTTTTTTTGTTTTTTTTTTTTTTTAAGCTAATGGAATCACACACTTAATCTATAGCAGGAAACTCAAATACCACTTTTGCACTTATGAACTAGGTTAACAGCCATTTTTACTCAGCTCCATCTGGACAGGCCCTCAGTTGACTTGCACTGCTGTGTGCTGAGATCTAGCAGGCACAAGTCCTTTGTCACCCAGCACACCAGGATGAAGCTCAGTGCTGTGACGTCGGCTCCCTGCCAGGAGCTTCCACTGCCCCTGCTCCCATGGCGGGGTGTCTCCTGACTCTATCTGAGATGTTAAAACATGGGGGAGAGAGAGACAGCAGGCTCCTTATAGAAGGCATCTTGGGATTCAGACATACTGGCTCTGTCACTCACCAGTATGAATGTCACATGCTTTTATGAACTAAACAGTAATGTCCCCAGACACATAGGTGAAGCCTGAACCTTCAGGATGACTGTCTTTAGGGATTGAAGCTTCTGGTAGTTAGCCAATTACCAAGGAAACACATCTCTGAGTATGTCTTTAAGAATGTTTCCAGAAAGATTCAACTGAGAAGCAGAGATCTGCTCTGAATGTGGGCACCATTCTCAGGGACTGAGACCCACCCTGAATGAGAAGGAGAAAGGACAAGCAAGCAAGCATCGGTGTTTGTTCCCTGTTTTCTGAGGCAGAGTCAATGTCACCAGCCACCTCACACTCCTGCCACCGTGCCTCCAAACTTTGAGCCAAAGAAAACTTGCATCCTGATGTTGCCTTCCTCAGCTGGTCTGTCACAGCAGAGAGAAAAGTTACAAATACAAGCCTTCGAGGAGATGACTACAGGTTGAGCGGGTCCTAATCTAATACAACCCATGTCTTTAGAAGACGAGACACAGGAACGTACGTGAACCAGTGGAAGGTCACATAGAGTGAAAGACACCATCTCAGAGAGAGAAGGAGGGAGGGAGGGAGGGAGAGAGAGATTTCCAGAAACCAGCCCTGCTTGAACTTCCAGCCTCCAAAACATAATGGTAAGACAATGAATATCTACTGTTTGTTACAGCAACTTGAACTTGGAAATACACTATTCACATCTTTAATTTCTTTGTTTGCAAAATGCCCATTGGACCAACTCATGGGGTCATTACAAGGGAAAATGACCTCACAGGTGACATGGGCCAACATGCTAGGTCATTAAACACCTCGTTGTAATAAACTGCTTCTTTATTACTCTTCATATTTAGGGTAAGAATTTTGAACAAGTTCTTTAAAGTACTGCTCAAATTTCAGGGCTTAAACACTTTCCTAAGAAGGGTGCATGCCTTATACTTTAATGGTTGATTCAATGCCAAGGTTAAAAAAGAAGCGTGGAGAAATGTTCTCTCTCTGTGTATTCACACATTTGGTTTGCTTTTTGCTTCAGCTTTGAGCATCTGTACCTTGGCATGTGGAGTTATTTCTTTCTGATGGCCTTTGTGAAGAATGTACCAGTTAGCAACGCATTAGGAAAGCTCTCTTAGTTGCCGAGTGCAAAGGGAATTTCAGAACGGGCTCTGCTATTAAATGCATAGAAACCACTGTCTGCAATGACTTGTTTAGCCAGTGATTTCAGAGCTGCTGAAAGTTTGATGAGCAGTCTCTTCCCCCAGGCTTTCACTCTGGTCCTTCAGTTGAGCTAGGCATTTGCTCAGTGGTGGCTGAGTTTCCCTCTTGGTTCAAGCAGAAGTGAGGTCTAGGGAGAAATTATCACTTATTTAAATAAGAAAACAGGGCTGGGACTTGTGAGGTATTCTCTTAACTTATGAATCAGTCTTGCTTGTGGTTGGTGAGTCGCCTTTAAAATTGATTGCATGGATCTGTTTTTCGGTTTCTACCCAAGGAAGCATGCAATCTATAGAGCGTATTGTGTGATTTGAGAGCCTTGTCCTATAGATCACTGGCCTCAATGAACCTTCCATTTGTAAGCAAGAAAATTTGCTCCCCCCAGTCAGAATTGATGCAGGGGCCAGAATGGAGATATAGGGAGGGACCGCAGGTGGGTGAGAGACGTGGGTGGAGGGCCCCGCCCCTGTCCCCTGCCACAGCCTTTATATAGGAGGATGCTTTTGGTCCTGGGTGGTTCCCCTCAGCTCTTTTTGCTAGGCTTTCCTCAGTGGCCTCTAAATAGGATTCCATCTGGTTGACTACTGAGATCAAACTGTGGCAGTCAGGAAAGGCTTTGCAAGCTCACAGGGACCCCAGCAGGCCGGAAGCATACTGAAGTCTGGACCTCTGGCAGGCTGTGTGGTGCATGGCCACTCTGAACCTTTATTTCTCTGAGTCCTGAAGTGGAAGGAGATGACTTGTATGTTAGCTACTTCTCAGCAGCCTTCTGGGTATTTCTACATTGATACAACGAAGGGAATCAGCCCCCTGCTGGAAGCTCTTTCCCCTAATTTTTGATTTGGTGCCTCTGCTCCAGCACCAGGTGTTCATCGTGAACTGAGGGGCCTCTCTGAGAGGCTGGGGAGTTGATGATGCTCCGAGGTTGCCAGATGACTCCTTGGGGTAAGGACCACATTCCCATCCTCTTTGCATTCCAGGCTCAGAAAGATAGAGATCCCAGTAAGGTGACCAATGACAGACAAACTCTGGTGCTCAGATTTTACCTTTTGTTTTAATCATTTTTCTCATCACGGTGACAAAACACCCCACAAGAGCAGCTCAAGAGAGGAAGTTTTTTTTTTTTTTTTTTTTTTTTTTTTTTTTTTGGCTCACGGTTTGAGTGTGCAGTCCATCATGGTGGAGGAAGGGATGGCGGCAGGAACCCGTGGCTGTTGATGGCATTGCCATCAGGAAGCAGAGAGGTGAGTGATTATGTTAGTTCCTTTCTCGCTTTCATGGAGTCTCACGTTAACTGCTTTCTTACTTTTATGACCCAAACCCATGAGATGGTGTTGCCCAGATTTAGGATGGGTGTTTTGTTAACCAAGTCCAGAAATCCCAGAGGTTTGTCTTCTCACTGGTCCTAGATTCTGTCAAGATGAAAGGATCGCTCCCACTGAAAGCTCAGTGTGCATTTTCTTCCGATCACCTCACTGTGCTCTCAACACCTTTGTCATAAACACTAGACCATAGACTAGAGTGTTTACAGAGTGAGAACCCCGACTAGACCAAGCTCAAACACATGGGATTTGAGAGAGCTAAAAAACAAACAAACAAATAACAAACAAACAAACAAACGCCACGACCAGCAAAGATAAGGAGCCACAGCTACTGAAGACCCAAATCCATCCAGTAGATTCAGTTGTTTGTGGTTAACTTAAAACCCATTCACTTGGGAGGTCCCACTTAGCCCCATTCATTTGATAGCACCTCAACAATTAGATGATGGTGAGAGTCGTCCTCTCAGGAACTCGCAAAGCCCCATTAGATGCTGCAGATACCCAATGGGTAACTGAAGTGGGACAGAGGGCTTGAGTTCTCTATGACATCATTCCGTGTGCTCTGACCAGACTCTACTGCGCCCTGTACACAGACGGGCTCATCATTTGAGAAATGTCCTGGCGGAGGTTATAACTCAAGGCCCACCGAGAACAAGGCTAAGATGTTTGTGTGTCAGAGAAAAAAAAATGTTTAAATCATGTCCATAATTCATTGATGAGGACGGACACTGGGTGCCTCACTGTTGAGGCTTCCTGTGGGGGCAGTCCGGTCACTGCTGCTCAATGCTGCCTCCTTCTGGCATGAGTCAGACAGCGCCCGCTGAGGTCCCGATAAAGACACTCCGCCTTGTTGGTCCTATGAGGCTTGGCTTCATTTCTATTTCTGTACCACAGAGTCCTGCCATTCTGTCAAGGTGGCCTCAGTGATGGAGTCATGCCCCATCTAAAGTCTCAGGATCAAGGTTTTAAGCAGTAGGCAAAGCCCCCTCTTAGATCTTTGCCTCTTCTATGTGTGTGTATGGGGTAATACAGAAGTCAAGAGGTGAAGGAACCTGGGTCCCAAACAGTGTGTGGACCTGCCTGTGGTGATATTTTATCTGTGTTCCCCAATAAAGTTTATCTGAGGATCAGAGGAAGAAGCCAGCCACTATATTAAACATAGAAGTCAGGCAGTGGTAGCACACACCTTTAATCCTATCTCTCGGGAGGCAGGAATCTGTCTGGATCTCTGTGGGTTCAAAGCCACACTGGAAACAGAGCCAGGCGTGGTGTCACATTCCATAAATTCCAACACTAGTTAACCATAAAGGTCTGGAGGTCTGTACAGACAGACAGGAAGTGACAGAACTGGGCAGGAAGAGGAAGTGATGTAACTGGGCAGAGAGGAAATGAGATGGCAGAACAGAAAGCCATATAGGCGAGGGCACACAGGAAGTAGGTCTCTTTGGAAGCTGTGGAGTTGGTGAGGTGAGGTTAGCTGTGGCTTTTCCTATTCCTCCAATCTCTCAGGTTTTAACCCTGATGTCTGGCTCCAGGTTTTTATTTAATAAGACCTTTTAAGATTCATGTTACACCTGCCATCTGTCCGGGAACAAGAAAAACCAGGGCTGTGATGGGCCATTCTACATTTGCCTCTGTTATTAAGTCCACCTCTAATTTTTACAGCCAGAAACACACAATGCCTCTAAGAAGACTTACCAGTTACCAGTCAGGGGAGAGACTGGAGGAGGACAGGAAGAGAGGCCAAGATGGAATGTGTGTGTTCGTGCTTGTAAGAGTCAGTGTGTGGGTAACTGAATGCTATGATTAGTGAGTCTAGATGCTTGTACCGCTTCAGTGACTTCAAAAACAAGCCAAGGGAGCCAGGCCCCCCCTGGGAGTGCGGTGAGAAGGTGGTCTTGGTGGTGCTCCTTCATTTGAGACAATAGGTGCTGACCACATTCATCATGGAATGATGGGGAATGGGCAGAACATCACAGAGTTGAGAGAAAGACAAGTCCAAGAGGACAATACTGGGAGAGTAGAAGACCCTGGGGCACAGGAAGGATA